TTCAGCAGGCAATGTCAGCTGGCTTCATCCCAGGGCAACTTCTACTTCTGTCAAGAGGAAGAATTTGCTTTGCTGAGGCAAATAAGAAATAAGAGCAATCACATTCTTTTTTTTTTTTTTTCACATTCTTGGCACTTATTCATGTCTCTTTCTCCTAATTTTTCATCTTTCATATGTGGCCCAGAGCAGAATCTCATCTATTTACAATAATAGGAAAAATATTGAAAAATAGTAGATCCTTTCCAAGCTCCATTAGCTAAGGAATATGATGCATGTTGATGGAAGGTGCTGACAGTCTCTCGTAACTTGGGTCTGGAGAATGGTTCCATAACCATTGTCAGCTTCATTGCTCAAAGCTCACCCTTAATGCTGCCATTTAAGAAGGCCACATGAGGGATATCATCCTTTGACTGAGCTAACTTTGGCATGAAACTTGCAAGGAGCTTGATTTCATACCTCTTCTGCTGATTTCTTTTTTGAGTGATGACAGTTTCTTTACAGGCAGAAAGTGCCTCAGGAGCCCCAAGTTGTCTTTAGGATTCTTTGATGTTTCTCTAACAGCAAGGACATACAAGCAAATCATAGCTTTTGTCAAATAACACCTGCAGTCTTGAATCATCACTGGTATACTCTCTACAGATGCATTTGGCTCACTCCATATTGCTTTGTTAGACTCAGTTTTTTTACAGTTAGTTCTTTGGCTGGTCGTGAGGAACCTCTTTGTGAGACCCAGCTGATTGCTGGTTTTGTCTGAGGCTGTTTTACTTCATGTAAACGTGTGCTTGGATGAAAAATGTAACTTACTTTTGACATGAAGTGCAAAAGCTGCAAGTGAAACATTTGCCTAGAATTCTATAAGGGCAAACCAGTGAGGATTAGAAAGACACGCAAGTACCTACACAAAACCAAGTATAAAAATAACCTCTGTTTTCCAACATATCTTTGTCCAGAGGAAACAGAGAAACAGACTTTAACAATAGTGGTTTTATCCTAGTTACTGCTTTCCAGTGTGCAAATGATGTGTGTAGCATATTTGTCAAAACATCAAGGAAGCACATCCAGGCAGTTGCTGAACACCTGCAAATCCCACTACGCAGCTGCCAAACTGTAGTTTAGCTCCTTGAAATGGTTGACTACTGTGAGTAGTAACAAAAGCAATAACAAAAACAATTAAGTCACAACTACCTTATCATATCTATTTTGAGGAGATAGGTTATATGTCAGAAAAATCAAACTTCATGTCTTTACTGGAAATAAAATCAGGCTACTTAACTGTTGCATACCAGTGACTATTCTGGTTGCTAACCAAAGCCTACGTAAATTTTCTGGTTTGGTTTTTTTTTTTTTTTTGTGTTTTTGTTGTTGTTGTTGTTGTTTGTTTGTTTTTAGATTCATGGAACTGTCAGTGTTGTAGTCTCAAAAGCAGTTGTGCTGAGTTATAAGATCCTGACAGAAACTCTAGTAAGTACTTTTTTTAAAGGACTCAGAAGGATCATGCACAACTGTTGAACGAAAAGTAGGAAAAGCACTGAAAAAATTAATTGCCATACTTGATGCCAACAGGGGACTGTAATCAATGTTGACTCTGAATACCTGGATCCTAAATTTAGACCACTGCATTGCAGGAGATTAGCAAGTAGACACCAAATTGAGGTAATGAGTTTATGGTTTAAAAAAAATTAATTAAACTTCCCTTCTTTCAAGAAGTTGTACGAGGGCCTTGAGGAACTTGGTCAAAGGCAAGCTGTGCGTAGACTCTTACGGCTTCAGTAAAGTCCTCTATTTGCTCTGGTATTTTACAGACAGGTATGTATTTGCAATATTTTGTAGCCTGTCTGCAGTGAGCTGCTCTTTCTTCAAGACTAAGTAGAAAAAATTTACTTACAGGCTTTCAGTTCTAATTCATTAAAATATTTTATTTACAGAGAAGGAGGCTGCTTGATTCTTCCATAACTACTTTATTTATAAATATGTTGACCAGCCAACAGGTTACATTCACTTCAGGTCTCATTCATTTGCACTTTAAGTAAATACCATGCTGTTTTAGCCATTTTTGTCTTTTGAGATGTAAGTGGTGATTTTGGAAAAAAACCAGACATTTGGGCCTCTGGTTACTTTGCAATTCTTTTGCTTTTTGTTCACCCAGAAAGTCTGACATAGAATCACCTGTATGGGATGCTTTTTTGGACTTCTGTGGGGCAAACAAGGACTGTATGAGTCATCTTTTAGCTTCATTCATTAAGTTCTCCAAAGAATTGTAAGGTTATAATGGTTTTGCACGACTCTTCATGTGATTTCCTATAATATTTATTCTACTAATTTTAAGACTGCATTACATAGAACAAAACCCACTGCATTGGTTATTTTGTTGATGGATGCTGTGGACCTGCTGGGAACTTGGAGAACAGAATTGATCTTTTGACTGTCTTTCCCTTTGTATCTTCCTTTAAGACTGACCTCATGAAGTAGACAACTTCAGTACCAGTGCATGAGCCTTAAATAGATAGAATCATGTTTTCTAACATTTTGTTTGAACTGCCATCATGTCCTTGTCTCATTTGTTGGTGTTTTGGTTGCTTTCTCTTGTTTTTAACTAGTTTCAGACTCTAGATTACAGGTTCGAAGCATATGCCACATGTTTGTGTTCAATATACAGCATATGTGCATGCACACACACAAACACAGCATAAGTTCGTGTGACAGTTATGCTGTTCTGATCATTACCATGGGGACACAGCAGTTTCCCATGGCTTCTCTGTATGGAGTGTTTGGATACAGCAATCTGGCAGTTTAGTAGCTCTGTAGCAGCAGAGTTTTTTGCCATGCCAGGTATTTTGTCATATTTCTCTGGAGCAGGGCATTGGGTTTGGACTTGTGAAATACATGGAAGTCAGCATCATCTCTGCCTACATGTTGACTCCCCTGGAGAAGTCATGCCCATGAGTAAGGTTTGTGTGTAAGAAAACACTTTATTCCAAACCTGTGTGCTTTCCATAGGTGGTGGCTGAGGGAAGCTTGTTTTATATCCTGGAAGTTTAGACTGTACGAAAACAAGGAAAAGACTAAGGGCAGTAGTAGAAAACAGAATGCATTCAGTTATTAAAAAACTATGGGCATCATGGGCAGTGTTTTTTCCTTTTAAAAGTGAGGTTAAGGTTATGCAACTAAATTTCATATATGCTTTAGGAAAATACGAATGTTGATATTCATAAGAGGTTATTTATTTGATGAGCCAGATCTTCTTGTTCTTTCTCAATTCCTTTCTTAGACCTCCAGTATGTCACAAAGCTGAAGCATTTCTTAAACAAGATATTAACCATTTAAAGGCTAAAAAGCATTCTTTTCCTAAAGACAAACTATTCAGAGCTAGTATAAGGACTTGTCTAGGATAAATAAGTTCAAGAAAATAACGTTAGTTTCAATTACCTAAAGGCTGGTAAATATTATTACCGCCTAATTTGATCTCTGGTTTAGTGCATTCTGTGTATTTGTACCCTATAACTTCTTTTTGAGTTATGACATGTATTTGAGACGGCTTTTAGCCGTGATTCAACAGTTGCAAATAATGAAGACTCTACCACATCTATTAACAGAATCTACTAATGGCTAATCACTTTACTATTAACAGTGTGTTTTGCAACTTTATCGTGACAAATTTTTGGAATTGTCCTTTTTTGGGGGGTCTGTTTTAAGTTTCCAGCTGTTGACTCTGTATCTTAAAAATTGACCTGCCATTTGTGGCCAAGTTGCTTTACAACACTATACTGGTTAAATGATATTGAGAGGCTTTCTTTCCTTCTTGTCCTGTAACAGCTCTTAGAGCCTTTCTGTGGTTCTATGTCAGCTTTGAGACCCAGAGTGGTTCCACAATAGACAGAGGCAGGACCAGAGACCCTTCTGCTTCACAGTGTACTTGATGTCAATCCATTTATCTTCGTATCATGCTGTGGAGCTGTTTGGTTTTTGTTTTTCTTCTCCAAACTAGTCTTTTCTTCACTCGGATAGCTAGTTGCCTCTAGAATTCTGATTAAAGTGTTGTACAATTTTGGGGTTCACCCAGATGCTTTAACACGTCATGTGAAAAATATGTTTTTGAAGAAGCAAAAAAAATTGTGATGACAGTTCCTCTCTCCCTAAATGTAAAATGAGAATTAGTGGAATTAATGAGACACTAAAGTTTCTGCATATATACTATGTTATCCCAAGGATTTGTAACTCTCTTCCTCTCTTTTGCGCATCTCACGAAAAGTAAACTTTTTTAAAGATATGATTTTTTTTAAACTATCATTATCCAAACATCACCTTAGAGTAAGCTGACCCAGTGGTTCTGTGCATTTAAAACTATTAAATCTCTGCTAACATGTCTGTTAGAAATGAATGAAATAATGATATGGACAAAGCTAAACTAAAGCAAAAAATTAATTAGATTTCATTTTCTGTTGTGGTGGATTCCTGGAGCTTTGCAGGCACTGACCAAAGATACATTTGCTTTTTTCACGTAGGATAATTGGATTACTAGGTAGTATGAGTCTTTAGTCTTTGCTAGATAGAGATAAATGCTTGCTAAATACACTGAGCAAATGAGTAGCTTAAGAAAAGGAGTGAAAAAAAATGTGTTAGTGAATATAGAGGCTTTAGCAATACATCTTCTGGTGATGGAGAGCAAAAAGCTGTTCTGTTGTCACTTGGCTAGTTAAACATATGTGACAACAGGGATAGCTGCTTCTCTGCGCACTTTAATAATGTCTCCTTGTATGCCCTGAATTTCAAAAAGGGGTGTCTCCTTTGCATGTTTGCATAAGTGTCTTTGCTTTTCAGGGCATCTGAAAATATTTGGAAAATTTTCTGAGTAACTCAGAAATATAGATTGGAAAACTTCAGGTGTTGCTAGTCATTTCTGGGGTTGAAAATGGCTATCATATTTGCATCTTGTGATCAGGAATGAAAGTACACAATTTTGGAGTTGGGGGGGGGGGCTTGTGTTTGTTATATTTTTTAAGGTATTGGAACATAAAAAGAAATGTGACAGAAGTAAAATGAACAATTCTGGTAACTCATCCTACCAATCACCACCCTAAAAAAAAAAAAAATGCCACTCATCTGGGACTAGTCATAGACCTGCACTCAAGCAAGAAGTGAGCATCAGATAAAGAAAAGATTATGAGCTGCAGTGTTTGGTGGGGGAAAAGAAATACATTTGTGGTTATGTTAATTTGACACTGGAAGCAATTTTCTGTGGAAGACCTTTCCTCCCAACCTGCAATTTATGGCCTGCTTGAATACTGAGGCAGAACCTGTTCTCTTTTGAATACCTGAGAAGCATAGAAGAATGCACTGTTGTAATTAACAGCTGTAGGAAATCTGACTGCCTCTGCAGAACTCCAGGGCTGTCCTATGTAACCAGAGAGGGAGACTCAAAGAGACAGGATGTGACCAGCTTCTGTCCACCTTCCCTCAAAAGCCATCTGAGCTGAGTGTTTAACTCATCTGTGGTGCTTGGAAAATCTGGCCTTTCAAGAAGCAGTTCCTGAGGACTATGCAAACAGCTTGAATGCCAGTAAGTTGGCACACAACCTCCAGGAGCACTGTAATACTGATGTCCTGTCATGAAGACAACTCTGGGCTGTGAATGAGCTCAAAGGGTGGATGATGTTCTGGGAAGGAAGATTGCCATCAATTATAAAACAACAGATACTTGTCAAATTCACTTGTTAAAGCTTGTTTCAATAGACACCCTGAATTTGCTTCATTTTAGGAAAGTCAGCAATAAAGAGCTGACACCCGGACCAGACACTAGAGAATGCATCTCCAATTTCTGTGACATTTTGTGGATGTAGAATTCTGGGACGCATGCAAATATATTCTAAATTGTTTCATACATACCAGAGAGGTCAATCTTCTTTACTTGCTGTTTCGTGAGGAAGTGATTTATGCTGGGCACTTCTGTATAATAATAAAACATTTCCAAAGTTTATGGTCAATAAATTTGTATAATAAAGAATGCATCCCAATGCTATTATAGTTCATACCTCAACTTCAATAACTTCACAGGCTAAGATAATGTAAGTTTTGGTCATGCTTTTCTTGTTTTCAAAGAGCAAAGACTGAAATTTCTTGCAATCTGGTGCATGTTAAGGTTAGTGTCTCCTTCAACTAGTGATTTCTGCTGGAGTCAAAACTGTGAATTCAATTTTGATTTTTTATGAGTCTTTTCAAAATTGAGTGGTCTGAGACTGGGTGGCTAATATTTGTATGTTGTGGTGGAATTTTTTGTTTTCTTTTTCTGGGCACTTCTGAATACATCTGTATTTTTTTATTTATTTATGTGAAATACCACAAAAAACTGGTTTTCCGATCAGATATCTTTTCGTTAGGTGTTTTGACATTTATCTGACCCAAAATATTGTTCAGTCACTGGATGAGTCTTCACTGCCTCTACCAATATTTGAAAAAAATAGTCAGGTAAAGAGATGTTAGAAAAGCCCTTATCTTTCTTCAAGGCTTAAGAGTTGATAAGGTCTTTGTTTGCATTTGTCGCCTTTTTTTGGCTGTTTGGTTGGGTTTTTTTGTGATGATTTTTTGTTTGGTTTTGGTTTTGCTTTTTTTTGTTGTTGTTCTCAGTCTCTCGTTTTTCTGACTTTGAATTCAGACAGCAGCAGTAAAGGGCTGATAAAGGAAGGAACTCCAGTCCTATTTCCATTGAAATGATGACGTGGCTTTGTGTTAACAGCTCATGTTTATGTGAGGAATATAAACAGGGTTTGGGGACCATATTAATTAGATTTTCATTCACTGAAATTGCTATCTGTTCCAGAACCACATTTCCGCTAGCTTTAGAAATTAGCTTTAAAAGTTTTAAAAGCCTTTGTTTTCCTTTTGAAACTCCCTATCAGTTCTTTTGTTGATTTTTTTTTTTTTTTTTGAGACTTTTGGATATGTTAGGCGAGGTTTTATCTTTAATGTTTTCCATACAGCCATGACAGCTAGGTATCAGTTCAGTTGCCAGAGCATAAATACAGAGATAGTGGCATAACCAGGCTTCAGACAACACTGAAGAATAGGGGAAGTTATTCTGTGGGTCCTGTACCATACCTGCTATCCTCATTTGAGGCATCTTAAGGGTTTTGCAGTAGCATTATATTTAGCTGTGTGTAAACAACTGAATTAACATGCTAATATCTGATTCTGCTTCCATTTGAAAACATGAGGATGAAATTAAAATTGTCTGGGCTGAAAACCCCCTGAATTTCTCTGCATTGCTAATTAAAAACATCAACATTTTTTATTTTTCTTACATTCTCTTTTGATAAAACTTTAAACATTTTTTTTCAAATGGTCTTGTCAGGAGATGTCATGGGCTGTCTGCTTTGTCCTCGTTCCTTTTGTATCATTTCTGCTGTTCTCGTGCATGCTGATGGCATATGGTATGGCCTTTTCTACCTAAAAAATGTTGAGTCCTATTTCTAGGCCTGTCCAGGCCTCAGCAATAGCTCGTATCTCTGACTTCTGACTTTCTTCTTACTCCATAAAGGCTGGAGCAATATTCTGTGCATTTAGGCAGTCCTTCAGCCTCACTGCAGCTCTGGTACCTCAATTTATAATCTCTTACCAGTTGCTGCCCCCCTTTTGAGGTGCCACACAACAGTGACCTACAGGGAAAAATGCCTCCAAATTCCTCCATGAATGCCAGCGATTAATTTAAGCACAGAAAGCTTAATAAGGAGTCCTCAGTGTTCATGTATAAAAATACTGCAGTAGGCTTGCAGCTTTTGAGAAGTGAGTTTAAAAGAAGAAAACACAGCAATTGATGGCCAAAAGGAGACTGCATGTGGGAGAAAATACACGGTCACTTGTAAGTTGCAATCTGCTGAAACCCAGAGGGTTCTTTTAAGTTTGTCTTCTCTGATCTGTGTGTGTTTATTCCAGCAAAACATATTTTTGTCCGGAAGATATTTTGTGCCTCAAATAAAACATGCAGCTTGGCACAAAGAGCTCTCTCTTTTAAACTGGTATCAACAATTATAAAGTTCATTGTAGAAACTGCACAAATAGAAATGTGAAGATTCAGGCTTTTAAGGACAGGCTTTTCTCTTTGACTTGTGAGGTGTAGCACCTATCCCTTCCTTGTAAAACTTGTATATTGCCAATAAAAGAATCAGGGGCCTCGTTTGAGCAGATAGAAAAGATAGGACAATTTTTCCATCCCTGGACTTAAAGTGACCCATGACCTTGTTCTGTGAACTGTTACTTTTAGGTAAAAAACTTGGCCTTAAATTAGAAGTATTTTTCGTTATATAGGTCCTCTCTTTGTTTCATTTATTCTATTATAGTCAAACTAGGTATTGCTACAGAAACTGAACGACATTGTGCGCAACACTGTAAACATACAATAAGCTACATTTTCTGTGCTGAAGAAGCAAGTAGACCAAAGAGATGAGGGTGTAAAGAGTAGGAGTAAAGAAAAATCAGCCCCTTTGTAAGTTCTGGGAACCTGAAGTTCAGAGCTTGTTCAAGGTCACGCAGGAGCTGTGCACCAGAGATGAAATTTAACCAGGCTTTCTGAATCTGAGGCTAGACTTGCAATCACAAAATATCTCTTCATCCAGAAGTTTGCAGTCACTTGACATTTGTGTTAATGCCTGACACTTGACTTCAGCATTTCAGCTTTGATAAGGCCACACTGGCTTCACTTAAGATGAAAATAGTTTAAAAAGCAAAACAACAACAGAAAAGAAAAGCAGCTTTTTGTGAAGGCTCCTCCATGGTATGAGAAAAGAGATCTGTCAGCTCACTTTCACTGAATTTGTGCCAGAAATTATCTCAGTAAAATCTTACTGTAAGGACAAAGCCTCAACAGATTAATATAATCAGTGGCTACTTGCACTCCTAGTTGAGACAAGGGGGGCGTCTTGTCTTTTCAACATGAATAGCTTAGGGAAATATTTGCCAATGCAAAACAGGTTGTTTCTAAACTGCTTCCAGATTTATTTGTTTATGGTAGAAATCAACTAGCCTTATGCCAATACCTGGCATGTGATAATTCTGAAGAATCAGTCTGGAGAGCATGGGATTTCACAGATGTTAAGCCAAAGTAACAGAACAAAGTAGGATCATCTAACCTCAAGGTGTGGGCTATTATTACTATTACTACCATCAGTAAATTCTCTGAGCATTTTCAGATAATCTAGGGATTGGCTTCTATGGGTTTATCTGTGGGATATGCCATCACATATTTTGGAGGGGTACTTACTTTTCATGATCCTTATGTCTTTCTCATATGCTGCCCAGTCCTTTAGGGTAGGGAAAGCAGGTGGGAAGTAAAGCAGAAATAAGGCTGCACCTACAAGAGGTACAGCTTGTGCAGAGGTAAATTTACTGGAAGAGGCCACCTTGTGGAAGCCAGTAACACAGCTGCACCTTTCTGCAAACCACTGACTCCTGAGCAGAAGGATTTTTTTTTATTTTAGGACTCATTATCAGCTATTACTGACTAGGCAGGAGGGAAAAAAAGAGCCCCTTCTTTGAGACCTGTCAGTGCAGCTTCATAGGACAGACATACAGAGCACTTGAGTTGTAGCACTTAACCTACTGGCAGCAAACAGCTTTGCAATTACAATATTTTCAAGAATATCTCCTCTCTTGTTCTCTCTCTTCCTTTTTCTTGTACCCAGCTGCCAATTCTCCAGTAACTACTGGGAATCTGTTTATTTGCAAGAGGTTTTAGAGAGGCAGCTTGTCATACTATCAGCGTCAACTCTCCAGATTTCTAACTTGTTACTCGTTTTTCTAATACTGCTTGCCTCTGCTTCTGCTCTTTTCAAACGCTTTCATTGCTGCTAATTTTCTGTTTGGATTATATTCAGAAAATTATTATTATTATTAGTCTCATCATTATTATTATTATTTTAAACTATGTACTCAGAGTCACTTCTCTGATTTCACAGAAGGAAGGACAAAGCTTGGGACAAGCATCTGTAAGCAAAGAACTGCTGTTATATTTAAAACTAAGTCAATAGTAGATCCTTTGAACAGGCAGCTCCTGCTAGGGGACATAGGTACCCAACTTAGAGGCAAAGGCACAGTGAAGAGGCAGGGGTACAATGATGATTTATGATGTACAGTCTTCCCACGTATTTGGGGTGGGGGTGGAGGGAAGTGTTTCGTTCACTTCTTGCTTCCCTTTGGAATTTTCCTTATGTTATTGTTTTTACACATCAAGAATGTGATTGGTGGTCAAGGTTTGGCTTGAATAGGCCAAAGTCAGAGAAGGCAAATGATTTAGAGGGCAACATTTTAAGAGCTGGGCTAAAGAATAAATTGCAATGTTTATTTTCTTTCTTAAAGCAGACATGTAAAACACAAATAACCTTACAATGGGATTAATGTCAGACTGTTTCAGAACCTAAAAAAATAGATGTACACAAAATATATTAGTAACATTGGTGTATGTTTTTCTATCTGAAAGGAAAGGTTTGGGGTTTGTTTTTCTTGGTTTTTTTTTTAATATCTGAAGTTGTCAAATAGAACAGAGAATAGTGACATGGGTTTTGATTAAGAGGAAACATTTCAAATGAACTGTGGTGATTTTTCCATTTGGGGAGGCAGACACAAGTTGGTTTTGAAGTACTTAAATGGGCTTTGAGTGGTTACATCTAATAAGTTAAAGGAGGGACAGCCTGTCTTCTAAATGATGCCTTGCAGTCTCCCCTCTTGGGATC